TTTTTTTTTGAGATGGAGTCTCACACTGTCACCCAGGCTGGAGTGCTGTGGCGTGAGTTTTGCACTTCCAGAGTGCAGCTTGCTGCAACCTCTGCCTCCAGAGTTCACATGATTCTGCTGCCTCAGCCTCCCCAGTACCTGGGATTACAGGCGCACACCACCACACTCGGCTGAGTTTTTGTATTTTCAGTAAAGACAGGGTTTCACTACGTTGGCCAGACTGATCTTGAACTCCTGACCTTGTGATCTGCCCATCTCAGCCTCCCGAAGTGCTGAGATTACAGGTGTGAGCCACGGCACCCAGCATGAAAGGAGAGATCTTTGATACTGCCTTTTGGGGACAATGAACTGTCTCCAGTTCACTGGGGAACTGATGAGCTGGAAATTTTGAGACTCACAGAGGTAAAGAGAATTCCCTAGAGTTGCTCGGTCAAACACTGGAAAACCAGCAGGTGTCAGAGCACCCCAGGAGTGTGTCTGGTGAGTGGCACGAGCTAGAACAAAGCGAGTAGTCCCCAAGTCAGGAGCTGTGGCTTGGAACACTTCCTGGCATCAGCTTTCTGGGCAAACTAGAACCCATAGTTCAGCTTCTCTGGACCTCAGTTCCCCCAGCTATGAAACTTGGGGCATGCCCTCTACACATTTGACGTCATTTTATGTGCCCATAAGACCTCCCAGAGCACAGAGGACATGACCTTTGCCAAACGTATCTTCTGTCCTGGGATCAGCCATTTTTCTGGGTGAGGGAGGCTGTTCCAGACAATAACCACACACTGCCCAGGAACACAGAGATCTTGGCTTATTTTGGCGAAAAGCTTTAGGTGACGTCACCAACAGCAGCCTGAACAGTGATACACTGCTGGTCTAGTGGGTGCAATTGGAGGGGAAGCAATCCTCCTCCTATCTCAGCCAAGCCCTGGACAAGGGCGGAGGGACCTCGAAGGTGACTGCCATGAACTCTGGACCAGGTCCACACTCCTCTTTTCCAGAGTGCCAGCGCATGGAGAAGCGGGGCTCAAAGCCAGCCCCCACCCCAGCACACCCATTCACACACCAGGCCTCATTTCCACTAATCTCTTGCCACAGTGGGCTGGGGGTATTGTCTACTCGGAGCTAGTTGCCCTATTTTACTGCCAAAAAGTACAGTGAACTTAATGAGCCTTGCATGTGAAGTGCCTTCCAAATTATCCTTGTTAATCCTCAAATGAAGGAGAGAAGTTATACCCAGATGGAGGAAGAGAGCCAGTTAAGGTGACCTAGATAGTTTTTGTTTCTCATTGAGTCCTTATGCAGCTTATTGGGGGGGAAGGTCACAATTCTTATCAAAGACCAGGGTTGGAACACAGGTGTGTGGGGCCACAGTAGCTTAGCTCCACTTTCTTGATTTCTGTTACTACACGTTTTTTATTAGCTTTTATGTATTTAACAAGCCTTTATTGAGGCCCCACTATGAGCAAGCCACTGTTTCAAGCACTCTGAGAGATACAGAGTTGAATGAACATGGCCCCATCACCCTAGGAGCTCACAGCCAGGAAGAGGCCCAGAGCTGGGTGTTGAGCAAATCCTTCGGTTTTCTTTATTTCCACGACCTACTCTGTTTCCTAAAAGGAAGTAATGTAATATGAAAGTTATTTAAGCTAATTTTGGCAAACATTCTAAATCAAAGCTATGTTGGAAGAGGGAGGTGCCAGGCCTGAGATGATCCCAGCTAAGATGGTCGTGCTGGTTCTGCATGGCATTTAGCCCCGAGCTTCCAAAAAGTCAAGGAAGGAAAAGAAGGATAGGATGCGATGTGAGGAGGCGTTGCCAAGCGGTCTTTCCCGGTCCGGACTCATCTCTCTGTGCTCTCTGTCCTAGGCCAGCAGCTGGGATCCCTGGCCCTCCTGGTCCCCTGGGAGCAGAGCCTGCGCAGCGCCCAGAGGAAGCCGGCTGCAACTGCCAGGCTGAGCCGTGCGCTGTGCACACCCTCCGAGAGTCCCCAGCAGACGGGCCCGTGCGCCCCCAGCAGCCTCCAGATCCCCGCACCCCGGAGCGAGGTGCCGCGGGAGCTGCCGCCGCCCTACTGGAACGTCTTCAGCCTGCGCTATGGCTAGCGGGAGGCGGCACCGGGAGCCACGGCGGAGGCGCTGGGCGGGGCTGAGGGCGCAGGTGCGGGGCAGTGAACTTCAGACCCTACAGGAGTCAGAGCATGCAGGGCGGGGCGGGGTGGTGGGGGGACGCCGGGCAAAGGGAGGGGGCGCTGGAGCTTCCGGGCCTAGGCAATAAAAGAAATGTTGCATAAGTCACCGACTTGTGATCTGTGGCTCATTTTTGCAAGTAACTCTGATGAAGCTGTTCCTCTTCCATCCTCACTGGATAGTTAGCTGGTTTCAGGATGCCCCTGGTGTCATTAAGGTCAGTGCTTCTCACACTAGATGTAATGAAGGAACAGGCGGTTAGTTCTCCAATCCATTGCAGATTGGTACTTAAAACAAAACAAAACAAAACAAAAAAACAAAATTGATCACTGAAAACCCGAAAAATTTAAAAACAACAAAAGACCAAATTGGATGGTGCTTGAATGTTTCAGCAATATGAAATTTCTATAAAAACTCTGGCGCTGTCCTCAAAATGCCTAGACTTAGCCGCCTGAGGATGGGTAACATTTTGCAGAGGGACATGGCTCACTGCCCACACTTTGAGTAGTATTGGGGGGTAAGGGCGGTGTGCAGGAGATGGACTGATTAAGTACCTTTCCCTTTCCCAGAGAAGTTGGGCAGCTTGATCTGGAAGATGATGCCAGTCACTGCTCTGTCCATTGAAGCTTAAATATCGCCTGAGCCCCACAGTCAGACCTCTGCTGGGGTCTTGGATGCAAGGGGCATCGACAGCGGACCAGCCACTCACTTTCCCCTCTCCCCTCCAGGGAGCCAGGTTGAGTCTTTACACATATTGCTTTTCTTCATCCTCATAACTACCCAGGGTGATGGGCATGCATTAGCCCCATCTTTATAAGCAGAACCATGAAGTTGAGAGGGATAAATCACTCGCTCCAGGCACGTGGGCAATGAAAACGCCTAATAGTTCTCCTGATACCAGAACCTGTTTTCCCCACTGACCTGTCCTGCCTCTCTGCCATGGCAGGGTTTCCATCAGAGTCAGCCAGATGCAGATCAAGAAAGGGTAGCCTGCCTTATGGGGACTTACGTGGGGGTGCAATAGCTGGGGAGTAGAAATCGTGGTAGGAAGAGGGAGAGCTCATCAGTGGGAAAACCCCAGGAAATCCACCTCCTGCCCACAAGAAAACACAGCACTATTTAATAGCTTCGGGGTACCCCTGTGCTCCACAGTCTAGGATGAAAACGTTCTTACCAAGAGGGACGGTAGGACCCACCCCCATACAGTGAAGTGCCACAGTGTTCCACCCATTATGGAAACCAGGACTCCACAGGATGAAAGCAGAGCTGTGTTACCATGGCAATGAGATAGGCTGTCACGAGATCATGACAACCTGCTCCCCCGTCTCTACCTTTGAAAGTGCTCTCCAGGATCTCTCAAATTATCGATACTGCTGTGAGCTCACATCATCACGTGTCACGACAGCATGGTGTTGGTATTTGGAAGGGCTTTTTAACCCCTAAACACCCTGGGATGTGTCTCTGTACCTCTAGGAGCAGAATCATCAACTCAACACCTATTCTGTTAAGCATGTTGTTCTCCTAGCACCTGGAAGCACGCCTCTCGCTGATGATGGGTAGGAAGAGGCTGACGGTTTCCTGAATTCTGCTCTGAGCCAGCCTAAGTTTTACCAAACTTCCTGTGACCCCATTTACCCTTCCTCACAAGCTTAAGTTTAGGCAGATGGGAGGGTGTGCATGCTGCTTCAAGTGCAGGAGAGGGAAATGTGTTCTCTGGAGTGAGAAGCTGGCCTGTGTGTGAGCGGGCATGCATGTGGGGGCTAGATATGAGAAATTGCACACATGTTCATATGCACATGCCTGTGTGACGTTGTGTATGGTTCGGGTTCCTCTAACCATCTTCTAGTCCTTGTCAGCACTGCTGCAATCCAGGAGTCCTCCAAGATCTCTCGTCTAGTTGACCAGAGGCCCTGCTTCAGCAGACAGCTGGAAGAGAGGGGAATGCCTGTCCCATGCTTCTAGCAGCCTGAACTGCTACCTTTGAGACTCTGGGCTTTGCCGTTCCTGGCCCTGTGTCTTGGGAAAAGATGGGGAGTCCCTGTGGAACAAAAGGGATTTCTGATTTCATGTGGTTCTCTGCCTATGAACCTGCTCTCCAGATTGAAGGGAAGGAGAAGGGAAGATTGGAGGCTGTGAAGGGCCGCAGGGATTCTCTTCCCTCCCTCCGGCCTTTCTGGTGGGCTCAGAGAGTGGGGCACCGGAGCCCAAACACTTGGAGGTAGGGCTGCCCATGGTCACTCGAACCTACTTCTTCCTGGGGTCTCTGGACAGTGCCCAAGGGGGAGAAATCAGCAGGGCCCGGGCATCCCTTGTGGGTGGAAGTGGGAGGATCTCTTCCCAGGCTCCACCCCTTTTGGTAAGTCTCAATAGATGCTGGCTAGGAATTTGGGGGCAGGGGTGAGAGGGATGCAGGCGGTTTCTCCTCTGTCATCAATCTTATTATATTCACAAGCCATTTCTTGAGTACCTGCAGCATGCCAAGCACAGGCCTACCTCATTGCGTCCTCACAACTGCATGAGGTGGGAATACTATCCCCATTGCATGGAAGAGAAAAGTGAGGCTTGAAGAGGTTAAGTGGTGTGCTCAAGTAGTTGTAAAGTCATAGAGCCAAGAGTCAGACTCCCACATTCTAACTGCAAACACCATCAGCTTCCTACACACTGTAGCCTTTCCTTCTTCTGTAGCCCCCACCCCACTTAAAAAAAAAGCGTCGCCAGGTAGCAGACCCAATCCTTTTCCTGAATGATTTGTCTTGGGAAGCAGTCGGGCAGGCAATGTCACTCAACCCAAGCCATCGGCAGCGCCTCTCCACAACACTAGTGACAATACAGACAGGTCACCAATCCCCAGGGCAGGCCTCCTCTTCTCGGGTGGCATGCCAGGGCCCAGACATCTGCTTTTGCCCCTGCCTGCCTTCTCTCTCTGACAGCAGCTTCCCAGGTCTAGAAATGGTCACAGGGAGGGGAAGGACGTCAAGTCCAAAGAGTGTGCCCTTCCTCACCTTCTGTGCCTTCTTCCATTTTCCATTTTAAAAGACATCAGAACCCATCGGGGTTTCTTGCTTGGTTTAGAGTTGGGAGCCTGGGGCAGGGCTTGTTTTTGGTTACTGGGGAAGGCAAGACACAGAAAACAGCTCCCTAGTTTCATCACCCTGTGGGGATGAAAATTAGATATGATTCCTCTAATATCTGCCTAATAGTCTTTACAATTAACTCTGCGGCATATTAGCGTCGTAAAATGTTAAAAAGTACCATTTTGAACACATCTGTGTTTGCTCACTCCCTAAGCCCCTTAAAAGATGGCAAAGGAGGCCAGCCATGGTGGCTCACACCTGTAATCCCAGCACTTTGGGTGGCCAAGGTGGGTGGATCACCTGAGGTCAGGAGTTCGAGACTAGCCTGGCCAATGTGGTGATACCCTGTCTCTATTAAAAATACAAAAATTAGGCCGGGCGCGGTGGCTCAAGCCTGTAATCCCAGCGCTTTGGGAGGCTGAGGCGGGTGGATCACGAGGTCAAGAGATCGAGACCATCCTGGTCAACATGGTGAAACCCCGTCTCTACTAAAAATGCAAAAAATTAGCTGGGCATGGTGGCGTGTGCCTGTAATCCCAGCTACTCAGGAAGCTGAGGCAGGAGAATTGCCTGAACCCAGGAGGCGGAGGTTGCGGTGAGCCAAGATCGCGCCATTGCACTCCAGCCTGGGTAAAAGAGTGAAACTCCGTCTCAATAAAAAAAAAAAAAAAAATACAAAAATTAGCTGGGTATGGTGGTGTGCGTCTGTATTCCCAGCTACTCAGGAAGCTGAGGCATGAGAATCACTTGAACCGGGAGGCAGAGGTTGCAGTGAGCCAAGACTATACCACTGCACTCCAGCCTGGGTGACAGAGTAAGACTCTGTCCCCAGCCCCCACCAAAAAAAAGAAGAGAGAGAGAGAGTGGCTGAGAAGCGGGACCGTGTGACGGTCTCTCTGGATAAGCCCCCTCCTCTCTCTGTGCCGAGAATGCAGGCAGCAAGGCATATATTCCCCATGCGGGAGACCAGAGACCCCAAAGAAAAGACCTTCGGATGTTGACATTGGAGGATCCCCCCCAAAAAAGCTATCTATCTAGAGTGGTAGCCCCCATCTAGAGTGGGGCGAACCTGCCCATGACTTCTCCCTATGCACCCTGAATTTCTAGGCCCTTCCACTTTCTTCCCACTTAACCGTGCATGAGTCAAGGAGTCATAGGAGTTTGAAGAAAACTTCAAGTTGGAAGAGTAGACCAAGCACATGAATACAGAGGAAACAAACTTTCCACAGAAAACAGATACAATTTTTTGTGTGTGGTTAATAAAACAAAAATTACAAAATTTCCCATCTTTCCAAGTGCGATCTCAGCACTTTGGGAGGATAACTTGAAGGATAACTTGAAGCCAGGAGTTCAGGAGCAGCCTGGGCAATGTAGAGACCCTGTCTCTACAAAAAATAAAAATATTAGTTAGGCATGGTGGTGTGCTCACACCTGTAATCCCAGCACTTTGGAAGGCTGAGGTGGGAGGATCTCTTGAGTTCAGGAGTTTGAGACCAGCCTAGACATCATAGAGACCTTGTTTCTTAAAATAAACAAAACTAAAAAAAGACTCGGCTGGGCGAGGTGGCTCACACCTGTAATCCCAGCGCTCTGGGAGGCTGAGGTGGTGGATCTGAGGTCAGGAATTCACGACCAGCCTGACCAATAATGATGAAACACCATCTCTACCAAAAATACAACAAGTAGCTGGGCGTGGTGGCATGCACCTGTGGTCCCAGCTACTTGGGAGGCTAAGGCAGGATAATTGCTTGAACCAGGGAGGCCAAGGTTGCAGTGACCAGAGATTGTACCACTGCACTCCAGACTGGGTGACAGAGCGAGACTCTATCTCAAAAAAAAAAGAAAAAGAAAAAGAAAAACAAACAAACCAAGCAAAACAAAACCGTAAGATCCCTGAAAGTATAAAAGAAAATTTTGTATCTATAGCATCTATAAGACAAGTAGCAGATGCAATAAAAACAGAAGTTATCAGAGAATCAGAAAGGGCCTTTGGAAGTTAAAAATAAGAGATCAAAATTAAGAGTATGATCCATTCTGAGTAGTTTTAGTATACATGCCATTGCACGCCAGCCAGGGCAACAGAGCAAAAACTCCATCTAAATAATAACAGTAAAAAAAGGACAGGCATGGTGGCTGTAATCCCAGCACTTTGGGAGGCTGAGCCAGGTGGATCACGAGGTCAGGAGTTCAAGACCAGCCTGGCCAACATGGTAAAACCCCATCTCCACTAAAAATACAAAAATAAGCCAGGCGTGGTGGTGGGCACCTGTAAAGCCAGGTGAGCTTCAGCCGACCTGGGGCCTGTGGTGACCTCTATGCCTCCTGCACACCCAGGCCCAGAGGCAAGAAAGGCCTGAGCTTTTATTTTGTCAAAAACCGAGGGGTGGAACATGAGAGAAATTCTCATCTACTACAAAAGAAGAGTAATAAAAATGTATACAATTTTGGCCAGGAATGATGGCTCATGCCTGTAGTTTCCAGCACTTTGGGGGACCGAGGCAGGCGGATCGCCTGAGGTCGGAGTTCAAGATCAGCCTGGCCAACTTGGTGAAACCCTGTCTCTACTAAAAATACAAAACTTAGCCTGGCATGGTAGTGGGCGCCTGCAATCCCAGCAACTTGGGAGGCTGAGGCAGGGAGAATGGCTTGAATCTGGGAGGCGGAGGTTGCAGTGAGCCGAGATCGTACCACTGCACTCCAGCCTGGGTGACAGAGTAAGACTCCGTCTCAAAAAAATAAATAAATAAAAAATGTGTAAAAATTTAAAATTAAGAATGGCATCTTTCTTTAAAAGTTTATACATCACTTTTAGAATATGCATGACTAACAATAGCAGAACAGTCCAGAGAGTTAACAGTCTTACCTTGGAGGAGCCAGGCTGGGGGCTGGAGGTGGGGGTGGGATTGGAGATTGGTGGTTTTCATGTAAACCTTTTAGTTGTACTTGTTTTTAAAACTACAGCATGTTTTCTTCTGATTAAAAAAATATTAAGTCCAGCCTGGCCAACATGGTGAAACTCTGTCTTTACTAAAAAATAAAAAAATTGGCTGGGCGTGGTGGCATGCACCTGTAATCTCAGCTACTCTGGAGGCTGAGGCAGGAGAATTGCTTGAACCCAGGAGGTAGAGATTGCAGTAAGCTGAGATCGCACCACTGCACTCCAGCCTGGGTAACAGAGCAAGAATGTCTAAAAAAAAAAAAAGGAGGAAAGAGGAAGGGAGGAGGGGGAAGGAAGGAAGGAAGGAAGAATGAGAGAGGTGGGTGGGGAGGGAGGAAGAGAGGTTAATTTTCCGGGATATGTATTATTATTATTTTTGAGACAGAGTTTTGCTCTTTTTGCCCAGTCTGGAGTGCAGTGGTGTTATCTCGGCTCATCACAACCTCAGCCTCCCAGGTTCAATAGATTCTCCTGCCTCAGCCTCCCGAGTAGCTGGGATTATAGGCATGTGCTACCACGCTTGGCTAATTTTGTATTTTTAGTAGAGACGGGGTTTCTCCATGCTGGTCAGGCTGGCCTCAAATTCCCGATCTCAGATGATTGGCCCACCTCAGCCTCCCAAAGTGCTGGGATTACAGATGTGAGCCACCACACCCGGTGGGAAATGTATTCTTGAAGTACTGATAAAGATTTTTTGCTTGGCCAAACTTTAGTCAGGGCTTTCTAATCTTCTGCTAGAGTTATCTGGGCACTTCCCTGTAAAATCCAGTTTTAGCAAAGAGCCCTGCTAAGTCAATTTAGCAAATAATCCCCACCCTCATTATCTAATCACCCTGGAAATGTGACCAGGTTCCTCAGCCTGCACCATGCCCCAGGTGATGTCTGATCACCCCGTCTGTTAGATGAGTTTAGCCAGAATCCCCCATGCCTCTGAGGTTCCCTCTTAGTAATTCTCATCCACTGACCCACCCTGCTCCTTGGCTTTGCATTTTCTTTTTTTTTTTTTAGAGGAAGAAAGAGAGAAAGAAAGAGAAAGAATAAAAAAGAAAAAGAAAGAAAAAGAATGGAGGAAAGGAAGAAAGAGGAAGAGGAAGAGGGAGGGAGAACAGGGGTGTTGCTTTATTGCCCGGGCTAGAATGCAGTCTAAAAATGGGTATGCCTGTAATTGTGTTTAATAATAGAGACATTAAAAAAAAATGAGGGAAGAAAATAATTAACAAGCAGCCAACCAATATTTCATTTAAACCTATAAATAGGTGTGACGTGGTACTGATAAGAGTGTATATTTTGTGTATTTAAAGTGGAGAGTTCTATAAATGTTAATTAAGTCTACTTGTTCCAGATCTAAGTTCAAGTCCTGAATATCGATGTTAACTTTCTGTCTCATTGATCTGTCTAATATTGATGTTGAAGTCTCCCACACTATTGTCCACACAATTGTGTGGACAACACTATTGTGTGGACAATAGTGTGGGAGACTTCAACATCAATATTAGACAGATCAATGAGATCATGGGCTTTGCATTTTCACTCGCCCATGCTGTATTTGGAGTTGAGCCCAACTTCTCTTCCCAAATGAGAGACCCTGTGGCAGTGGTCCCTGTCCCATCTCAAAAGTCCTCAGTAAAGCCTGCTTTACTGTGCTTTATTAAGTGGCATTGGATAAGTTTTCTTTAACAGTACAATCCCTGGCCAGGCGCGGTGGCTCACACCTGTATCCCAGCACTTTGGGAGGCCGAGACAGGCGGATCACCTGAGGTTGGGAGTTCGAGACCAGCCTGACCAACATGAGAAACCCCATCTCTACTA